GCGGATACTGACGGTGGCGGGTATCGGAGCATTTGTCAGCCACTGGAATATTAGCGGACATAACGATACCCGCGCCACCCCGAAAGCCGGTATACTTATTAGCGCGCGCCTCTATGCATGGCGTTGTGCCAACTAGTTACGAGCCGACCCGTGGGGTCGGAGGTGAAGTCCGAACGCGTACCCGGCACCCGGAAACCGGGCTATGCATACTTAGTGCCCGGTACGGCCGAGTCTCTCGACGGCATCGGACGCCAGGGATGAGGGAGGGAGACATCGGAAATGGGCAGAGGAGGAAAAAAAAGGGATCGAATTGAGAGACGAGAGGCGAGAAATGGACGTCGCGAAATCGACATCCCACTGACAACGAGGTCGATCTTATTTTGCCGTTCGATGCGCTCGATTGCCTCGGACACGTCGTGAGCGGCGATGATTATTACAAGAAACACCTGATCTCGAGTTTTCCCAGAGGCAATGACGATGGCGGCGCAATAACGATCCCATCTGAGTGTCTACGAGATGTCAGTGATGCGGTCAGTAACGGAAAAAGAAACGCGTATACGATACCACATTGCTTTGTCATAAATAAAAAATCAATAATTCCTATGAAATTACTTAAAATGTCATCTCTGTACATTTATACAAAAATTATCGTTAGGTTAACAAAAATCACAATCGTCTGCCTTATGGAAGATTAATGGACAGACTCGCCTCGTTGCACGGTATCTGCAAATGATAAACGCGATAGTCGTTTGTGCCACTCAGCTCTAAGCGGCTGTTACGGAGGATTTGCGATAAAGATGAAAGATAGCGCGGAACGAGAATCGATGTCAATGGGCCGAGCGTGGGCTGAGTTTCCTCAGCCGCGATGAAATATAGAATTGTTCTTCCGCTCGTTTTGTTCGGTGCCTCATTAAAGGGGGTTCCCGCAATTCGGGATGAAGCTGTGTACTTTTTATAGCCCCGCCCCGGCCGCGGTTCTTATCTGCGCCCCGCCGCCGGTTTATTGTTGGGAATAAAGATTAGCCGCAGAGTTATAATGTAATGTGGCCCAGTCGTGTACGTAATCGCGGGATTATTTACGTCACGTCACTCGCCGCTTCTAAAGCACCCGCGTATCCGTGTACATTCGCCGAAAGCTTACATATCACCCTTCTTCGCAACTGTATTATGTACATTTAATCAATTACACCGCTATAATTTTGCGCGTTTATAGCCATCATGGATAAATACAGGGATGGTACACATAAAAAAATTGTAAAAATCATAATAAATAATTAAATATTTAATATCTAATAATTAACATGGCTGATAAATATTTGTAATATCACAGTCCGTGATTTTCTTGATGATTTCGTGCATTTCAAATAAAAGCGAATAAATCGAATTGCAACTTTCGTTGCGCGAAAAACTATTATTAATATAATATATCGCCTGTATAAAAAAAAAAGATTTGTAAAAACTTTCTAAACAATGTGTCTGAACCTTCTGAACAATATATATTTTATTTCTATTTTTCTTTCTCTCTATTTTTCTCTCTATCAGTCTTTTTTCTACCTTTTTTCTTTTCACCTGTCTTTTTTCACGTCAATCAAAGGATCTCCTTTAAATCTTTGTGTCTAAAAAAACATTTTTAAAAATATGCTTGCCAAAAATATTTATATTTTACGTTAACGTGCTATACAACAATAAAGCACGTATTAAAATAATGAAACACATGCGATTTCCAAATGTATAATTTAATTATAAAAGTCCACACGATTAAAAGAGATTTATTCAGAATTATTCAAAAATGTTTACGTTGTTATAAAATAAAGAGAATTGATATTTGTCAATACTTCATTAATGCTAATAAAATTTTTTCGCAGAATGATCTAAAACATTAAAGACTAATGATCAGATTGTATTTATCAAAAATATAATTATATGTCGAAATTCTTCGACAATACTTGATATATTGCATTAGTTCTATAATATTTAATATCGTCGATTTTTATCTTTTGAAAACACACCTTTATGTTTAATGAATTTGTGACAGAAAATTTTCCCTGCAAAAATCAATATTTATACTATTAAATTATGAAAAAGTTAATTTCAGATATCTATTATTATGTAACTATTGGAGATATTATTTTTAAATATTGCATATATTTTTTTTATGTATATATAAAGACACTAACCATTGGCTTTCCCTAATAAATGGTCTCACAGCTGGAATCGGGAATCCATTGAACGTATCGGAAAGAGCTAACGTGTAGGCGCCCATATTTTTCCAAACTAACCAATCGGCTATATGAAACTCAGGCAGCGTCCTTAAGTATTAAATCATACGAGTCGGCAGTCGGTCCCCATATATTCGAAAAGAATTTTTCGTCTCTCGTCGGCTGCGATGAAAAATTGACAATTATCCCGTATGATTTAATAAGAAGGAACACCGCTTTAGTATATAGTTTCAAGCGAATTACGTATTACATATCTCGAAAACCGATTCCGGTATTTTGGCCTGCAGAGCCAGCAATTAATTCGTATAGAAATAAATTGTATACGCCGCAACTCATGTAATACTCGTCCTTCTCGTCGCGCCGCCGTCGGAAATGTCAGATAGTTGGAATGCAGATACGAGGCTAAGGTGAAATTCGAACCTACGTGGTATCGTCCGGGCTCGCTGATGACCCTTATACCGGGATCAAGATTCTCGGCTACCTGAAGAAGTTACGAGATACGTATCAATGTCAGGAATGATAGTGCTATCTAAACGAACGGGAGATACCTTGTCGAGCTGCTCTTCGCAGATGCTCGAGAATTCATCACCGATGTCGATCGATTGTTCCGTTGTTGCATCCGATCGATTTAGCGTCTGCAATTAACCCGCGCTTGCATATCGATTTCTCGGAGATACGCGTCCATTCTCTAAACACGGGATGGACGACGTGAAAGCTGAAGCCGTGTAAGTTTAAGCTGAGGTCCCGCGCGTGCTGTATCAAAATACACAGACTCCTCGCACGACTCACAGCCGAACTTCGTTCCGAACGATTCACGGCGAGTTCTTCTTCGTATGCGTATCACGATCCTGTGTAACCGTAGATCAATTATAAGTCAGTAAAAAGTGAAATAGAAAAGAAAGATTAACTATAATACATCACATTATGTATAATAATATATATGCACTACCCAGTGAAATATATACATACTGGAATGAACCTTGGGGTGGTGGGGATCGTCGAACTGCGCAAGAGTGGTGCGAGAGTGACAGCCATGCAGCTTGGGGATGTTTGCCTCACTTTAATGATATCATTGAAGTGAGGCGACGTCCCCAAGCTGCACAGCTGTCACTCTCGCACAGTCGGCTACCTCCATCACACGTTTTCTTAGGAAAGGCTCACTCCAGTATGTGTAATATATCTTATACCGTACTAAATGATTATAATATATGTAGCATCTAAACGAATAGAATTTATTTTATTATTATTAGTCTCACTTACTCAGTTTTCGAGAATGAATCCTTAATTTTCGTCAACTCTAGCTCCCTATCTATCGTCATCTGTTGAACACGTATTATTTCTAGAGTATCTGGTATGAGCAATTTATTTCGATGCGCTAAAATGATCTGCTCATCTTGCACGTCGTACTGCATCAATTGTACTATTTCTTGTAGATTAGAAACATCATTATCGTTAATTAACTTGCGAGTTACAGACAAATTTACTCAGGGCTTATGTGGAGCTTATACAGTGTGTCCCCAAGATATTTTAATCTTCAATTTTTTTCGTCTCTTTATTCAGATTAGGTAGAATACGTTGATAAAGTTTAGTCAAGGGCTTTAGGGACACCTTGTATAAACTGCGGAGATTTAGATATTCTATGAGATAAAAGAGCGGATATTTACCTTTGACGCGCAATCAAAACAGGCATTTAAAGCCGCCAAAACTTTAATTACTCGAATTTGAATTGCATTTAATTGTTGGAATTTAAAAAAAAGTGACTGACCCCTTTTATTGCATTTTGGAAAATAACAAAGCAGAAGCGAAATCTTCAACATAACATCTTTTAATAGACGTATAAGATAATTATTCGATATTATCTTATATGACTATTTTATAAAAATTTTGTTTTACTTTAATTAGTTTACATGTAGGTATAAAATAAAAAACTTACAACATATACTGAAATGTATTAAAATTTATAAAACAGAATAATATCAATTGCGATAAATTTTATACTTTTCGGTTTTGCCAAGATTGCAAATAAACAAATATTTTTTATTCAGTCATTACCAATGTTCTGGCTGAAGGATTTTTTCCTTGCGTTAAATTGAACTAAAATAAAATAAATACAGTTTAAAAAATAATTACATAAAAATTTAAATAATTAAAGTTATTTATTATTGTAAACAAATTAATTATTCATACCATTGTTTATGTTTGCTAAATGAAATTTAATATTTTCAATAAGCTGTTAAAAATTTTAATTCGATATCAAATTGTATTATCTAATTATTGTGGCAAAATTATTGAAAAATATTATTTCTTATTTTATTTAAGATAGTACTAAAGGAACGAATTTTCAATCAAACGATTTTTCTGTTTGGCAATTGATCTTATTACTGATTAGCGATGTACTAAAAGCGTTCAAATTTATGATCAAAAAGATCAATCTTTTCAATAATTTAAAATTTTTTGCCACTGAAAAAATACTTCAAATTTATTTCTAAATAAAAATTACCTAATATACAATTTTTATATAATTCAGTATTTTAATGGATAATATAATTTATTTAAATTTGTAATTTAACATATACATAAGTTTAATTTCATTATTATAACATTTTGTTTCAAAACTACCTGGTAAAGTACATAAAAGCTAATATAACTATTTATTCGATTCTGTTTGATTCCAAACTTTGGTTAGCGATGATACGTTTCTACGTATGAGCTCATATGGAACGCATTGCAGATTATAACTTAATCGTTTGATCATGGGATTAAATCTATAATACGTTTAGCTTCATTTTTGGAACAGCTTTAAATTTTATTAAGAATTCATTCACTCAATTACTCTCGTTGAATTATACAGTTCGTTGATTTTAGAGAATAAAACAAGTTTTTACATCGAGTCAATTTGAGCTTTAAAATCCTTCCTGAAAATTATATTAACAATTTAATTTATATACGAACAGTAGATATCGCATGAAAGAACAGCAGTATTGTTAAAGTTATATTATATTATTATATATCTCTCTTTTTTTTTAAATCAACATTAACCATTGGCTTTTCCTGATGATTGGCACCACAACTGGGAGCGGGTATCCGTTGAATGGGCAGGATAGGACTATAGAATAAGCGCCCATATCTTTCCAAACTAACCAATCACCTATATGAAGCTTGGGCAACATCACATTTTTGACAATTATATCGTACGAGTCGGCGGTCGGTCCCCATATACTTGAAAGGAATTTCTCTTCGCTTGTTGGCTGCGATAATAAAGTGAATAATTGCTTCTTATTAAATTAAGAATTCCTTTTGTACATACATAAAAAAATAATTACCTTAGAAAGTAATTCCGGAATCCTAGTGCATAGGCCCATCAGGTCTTCTAGGAAGGAATGGAATACTCCGCAATTCATATAGTACATTCTCATTATTTCTCCGTTCTTCGGAACGATTCTCTTGGAATGCAAATACGAGGCTAAAGTGAAGGCAGAAGTTACGTAGTATCTTCCCGGCTCGCTGATAATTTTTATGTTAGGATCAACATCCTTTACCGCCTCGTTGATAATATTGGCGAACTGTGTGGAGAAATTACCATATATATCAAGAGATGTCTCAAAATTTCACTCATTGTCAAAAGTATATCGCGAATCTAAAGTCGATTTTTTATTATTAGAAATTTGGACTCCAATTTTGTCTAATTTTTTTATACCTATCTATATAGTAACGATTTCATGTCCTACAATTTATTCTAACATTCTGATGAAAGATGAACGGTTATCGGGGAGTCCTATTTACCATGTCAACGTCCGTTCCGCTCATGCCCGGAAATCCACCGCCGATGTCGATCAACTGCACCTTGTCGCACCCGATTGCCTTGGAGACGGTAACTAATTGTTTGCACAATGCGATACCTCTGGCGTAAGCCTCGAGCTCGACGCACGGGCTACCGACATGGAAGCTGAAGCCGTGTAAATTTAGACCGAGGTCTTTCGTGAGCTGTATCAAACGCACGGTTTCCTCGTCCGGTTCGGAGCCGAACTTTAATCCCAACGGTACCAGCGCGTCCTTCGAGTCGCAGCGTATGCGTATGACGATTCTGGATGTATGTCGCGCAGAGACATTCGATAAAGATTTTTAAATGTACAAAATCAACGTATTATACCTTACTCACTGAGCTTCGGGAAAGATATCCTTGATCTTGAAGAGCTCGCTCTCACCATCGACCGTCATCTGTTTAACGCCCACTTCTCTAGCGTATTCTATGTGAGACGCATATTTGGCCGGATGCGCGAAAATAATTCGGTCGCCTTGCACTCCGTGCTGCATTACTAGTTTTATTTCTTGCTATTAAAGGGAATATACGATTATTTAGTTTTTCAAATATTTGTTAAATATGTATTTAAAGAAGGATTTCAGGATTTACCGCGGATGCACAATCGAAACAGGCATTTAAAGCTGCCAAAACTTTAATTACCGTTAGATCCGGATTGACTTTAATTGCTAAAATTGAGAATAAAATTAATAGGGTAAAAACTTAATTAAATGCATTACCGAGAGAATGTAAAAGTGTAAAGTATTTGGATACCAAAGTGCGGGATAACTCTAGGTATCTTGGCGATCCATTCCTGATGCTTTTGTATGACTTTACCAATGTCCGCAATATAAATAGCTCTTTCCGGGCTTTCTGCACTAACTATAGTTTTGATGATATCCATGTCATCCATTGTATCATCAAAGATTTTTATGTCGTTAAAGGCTGCCATATTAAAATGTGTATCACAATGAAATCTTGAATATAAACGATTATCTGAAAATATTTAAGATATTAAATATTTATATATTGCTTATTTCGACAAAGTATAAATTATATTGGTCAATGATAAAACGATGAAAAGGAAACGATAATTTTATAGATTTTTTTTATGACTTATAGTCTCTAAAATGAGACTTTTGAAATCATGTACTTATAAAAAAATTTTTTTTATAAAATGATCGTAAAAATCAATTAAAATATTGGACAGCTTGAGAAATATCCTATATAAATATATAACGATTTCATTATTTTTATGAAATATATATTTTTTATAGTCTATTTTATATTTCCTGACGTCGTTTTAATTTAATTTAATGATTGTTTTGTCTCCATTACCAATTATTATCTGCATATCTGTAAAACTTTGCAATTATGACACCGATGACAGATAATCTATTGCTTCTCCACTTATTCTTAGATAAAGAACATTACTAATTCTAATGACGTACATTCGCACAGGAAAATCGAAAAAATATTTACATTTTTTAATATGTTTTATATTCAAAAATAATATATATCTGACTCTCAAATTTAAAATCATAATAAGAGAAATAATAAGACAAACAATAAGAGCAGAATTTTTTTCTATCACGCAGAACTTGGTTCGTAAAAATTTTCTTCAAAGTATATAAAATGTAGTTACATAATAAATAAATTTTTTCCGTATGTTTCAGCCTCCCCCAGGCTTTCTTCAGCGATAAATGATACATTATTTCGTTAGTATATCAATACCAATAATTTATTCCGCTAACAAACATCAGTGTGTTCAGTATTATCACGCAATGTGTGAGATCGGCCAATTTCAAGATTGCAAGCAAGCGTTATCTGTATTAATGATGATATCTGAATGAACTTAATAAGGAACATAGCTACATTTGTTAGCGAAATAAATTGTTTATATTGTATTAATGTATCATTCATTGCTGAAAAAACCCTGAAGAAGGCTGAAACATACGTAAGATATTTATTATGGATAATTACATTTCAAATAATTTTAAGAAAAATTTTTACGCAAGTTCTGCGTGATAGACTCTTATTGCCTGTCTTATTATTCTATGTTTTATATTATTTAATATATGTTAATAGTGAGTGATCCGTTGGTAGAACATACGAACTGATGTGAGAAATTACTATTCAAACCGAGAATATCTCAATGGAAAGTTTCGACATTTGGAGCTTAATTAATGTTACGATCATTTGTTTGATATGATGAATCATCGTGTGATAAACGATTATAAAAACGAAAGAAAAAAGCATTGGTACATAATATATCGTCTGCGAAAAATTAATATAATACTTACAATTAGAAATTGAACAGCACGATGGAATATTCAAAGAAAAAATATAAAAATATAGAAAATATAAAAAAATGGAGAGGAAAGAAACAAGAATTATAAGTCATTTAAAAAATTAATAAAGCTGCAGAAAATATTTACAGCTTCAGTAATTCCGACGATAAATAAGTGACAGTAATAATTAATAAGAATAAATACGTAAATTATAAATCGATAAAGTATAAAAAAAGTTGACTTACTGTGTTTTGACAGTCTAAATTTGCAGCTTTCACACTTGAATAGGATTATCAAAAATGGTGTATACGCAGAACGAGATTCGAAACGCGAAATGATCCATGTGGGAGCGCGCGATCTTATATATTTTCCCACTTACGGTCTAACTAAACGAAGATTGTGCAATAAAATTCTAGTAAGACATACTTGCGAAACAAATGTTAAAACGGACAAATAAGTAAATTTTACAGTCTATTTTAACGCCTCTTGTATATCTATTTTACGCTTCCTACTCTTAGAAAAGCATCTGTTCTAACTGCAATTACGGAAATTAGCATTTCCATTTAAATCGTCATGTCTTGGCTACGTGCATAATTTTACTCCGTTTTTGAGATAATGCTTCGAAATAATTTACTCGGGAACGACTGCACGTCATGTGTATAAATTTTTTTTGTAATTGCAAATATTAATGTTGCGGTACCGGACAAGAAGCACATAGTAACGCAAACATAATTAAAGTACACATCTTACATTTTGAATGTAACCAACGGACGAATAATATTAATTCGTGAAATCATTATCATTGATTAATTTATTTGAATTCATCCGATGTAAATTCATGTGCAATCCATCACACTTTTTCTCCGCTTCATGAATAATGGCATTTTTCACGTAACGACCCGGTTTACGGTTTATATAATTAAGTTGAAACAATGTGAGATCAAGCAATGGAATATTCGTCCGTTTCAGACAGGCGAAATAAGAATTGTCGATTTTCTTCGAACGAATTGATATCTAGAGCCTCGTTTACTTATCAGCCTGTTAAATCCCTTTTTCCTTGTTCTCTTTCGGTGCTCTTGTATCTACCCTCGAAATAGTCGTCACCGATGCAAATAATTTTCAAGGCTTCAAGCGAATTTCTTAGATGTAGGAGAAAGAGTTTCGAAATGACATTTTATCTACAGCGAGCCAATTTTTTTTTTAATTTTTGTTCCCGGAGGTAGCGCGGAGAGTCAACAGCGCTATTTTATGTCAGAACGAGCTAATTACGAGTCCGACGTTTAAAGAGGAATATAATGATAGACGATAAGCAACGATCTTTGCTTCATTGAAAATGCCAAGCTGTTACGACATTTTTCGTTTATTATTCTGGACGGAATAAAGCACGGAGTAAAGTACTGGTTTAACAATAACTATTGATTCTTACAGATTATAGTACGTGATCGTGTCACGAATGTTTAAAGTGACGAAAAGAATTGAATTAATAAAGGAAAAATGGATTTGAGAAAAATGCGACGTCGAAAAGTCAATCACGTTAACTATCGGAATCCAAGAGTGTTTCTGAAAATCATAGAAAAATGTCAATCTGAGGTGACCTGAAAGCTGATAGACATTTGTTCGTGTTCACGACGCTTTAAATATAAACTTATGAAAACTTCATTTTGTCGCTGGCAATTACGATGTGTACACGACGAAGAAAAAACTGTCTTGCCTTTATTAGGAAATATTTTTGACACGCTCGTGTAAAGAATAATTACTGTCAGTCACATGCTGTGAAAGATAACAAATTATTCAACTATATTCAACTGATTCTTTGATGCCGTTGCGCTTCTCATACGATGGCAGTATGATAAGTACCCGTGTTAGGAAAGAAAACGCAATTTTTTTAATTTTATTTTTAATATCTTTTTTAATTAGCCTCTTGTAGCTCTATACACTTAGTCCGGCGATGTTCCAATTTTTTTAAGCCATCCAAATAATTGGATTTGTCGAACTTTGCAAAATAGGTCTGTTTCAGCGATGATCTCCTCATTTTATGTAAACCGCTTTCCGCCAAGCCATTTTTTCATGTTTGAAAACGAAAAGAAATCGCAGGGTGCCAAATCTGGAGAATATGGTGAGTGAGGCAACAATTCGTAGCATAATTGGACCAGTTTTGCTGTGGCAATTTTTTATCAATCGTCAGCGAATGCGGCAGCCATCTGGCCGATAGCTTTTTCATGCCCAATTTTCGTGAAGGATATTTTGTACGCGTTTAATTGAAACGTTTACAATATTAGCAATCTCTCTGATCTTCACCCGGCAGTTTGCTAACACGATATCATGGATTTTGTCCATATCCTCCGTAATCACCTCAACAGACAGCCTGGCCATTCCTCATCAAAGACGGATGTTCGGCCACGCTTGAATTCATTGAATCAGTATTTGATTATGGTAGTCATCGAAGGTGCATGGTCCCTATAAAGCCGTATTCAACTTCTCTTTGATTTCCTCACATGTTTTCCCATCCAAAAAAAGGAATCGAATCACTGACCGATATTGTTCTTTCTCCATTATTGCAAAAATACACTTGCCCACTTTCAACAACTGTCAAAAACAAATCACTCGATGAATCTGTCAGAAATTTTGATAGACGTCGCTTGAAACATGAATAGTAAAAGATGGTAAGACAGATTTTTAGTCAAAGCGCCATTTGTCGTCAAACATGAGTACTTATCATCCTCGTAGACAATTTAATCTATCTACATATATTTGCGAAACTTTATTTCTAAATTAAAGAATTTCTAAATTAAAAGAATTAATAAGCGACTTCGCGTTATGGTTCTTTATTAATATCCATGGATATTAATAGAGAAGGAATAGGGGCGCGCAAAGAAAGGCAGGGAGGAGCTAAAAATTACGTATTATCATGCGACTACCTTAAATTTTTTCTTTCAAACGTACTTTTTTCTACCTTTTGCTCTCGCAGCCATGAAAATTAGAATGGCGTTTCCATCATTATTATAAAACTTCCCCGTGGCTCTCTCTCTCTCTCTCTCTCTCTCTCTCTCTCTCTCTCTCTCTCTCTCTCTCTCTCAGTTTGTTCAATAACAATCCTATTCTCTTAAACTTTGTTATCGAGTTTTACAATAAAACTCCGCGCACATAGCGTACCGACAATAGAACGTATATTTTCACTTCCGCAGGTCATCCCATTATGTCCGTGTATGACCGTCATTTTCATAAAGGATGAACGACGCGGGAGATTCCTAAGCTCATACTGCATTCACGTATTTACCAGCTAACTGGCCGACTCGCTTTAAAATGACGCTTAGCCTGAGGCCAGTCGTTCTTTGCAATGGTTTCTAAGGGGAGAAAACGAGGAATGAAATAGGGCGGAAAATAGCCATCCTCCGCTGAAATAGTTTCGAGGAAAACGGGAGAAAACGACGAGCTTGTATGTATGTGCAAAACTATCGAATGTAATTGGGAAGGAAAGTTTGTGGTAAAATTGGAATTTGGAAGAAGCGTAACTATAATATATAAAATCAAAAATGAAAAGCATGTTGCTTTATAATTTATAAATTAAAAACGCTGTAAAAATCTTAATTAAATAACTTACAAATTGTAATGCTAAATGCAAAATTAAAATTTAATACTATATATTATAATATTACGTTAACACGTAAAATAATGAGAGATAAAACTTGCACAAAAATTATTTTTCATTGTTTTCAATTATATTACACAAGAAAAAAGAATTATATAAAAGAATTATGTGAACGCATAAATGTTCAATGTAGTGATAAAAATAACGAGATTTTCTACGCGTTAGTAAATCCATGATCTGCTTTTTGCAAACTTCATCACACTTCAAGGAAAAAAATACATATTAGCGAGCAGAAAATAGCACAGTTGAAAAATCTATTGCTTGTGAACGGACAGAGATCTATTCGCGCATCTACGCTGCTTATCGGATTATGTTTATCATTGAGACGTATAAAACGCATATAACGGACTAGCATGTCAGCCTGTGCGATACGAAGAGTAGATCGCAAACCGTTAACGTAGACCGAGAATTAGACCCGAAGAAGAAATCGACTCACGCTCCTGGGAACATCAGGCCGGCGGAGTGGCGGATTTCCTGCACTCGGACGTATACAGGCGACGTCATTTTGGTCCCTCCCTTCTCTCCCCCGTCATCTCTTTCTTCTCGGATGGGAATAGCCCATGGAATTTGAATTTTACAGTGGCACTTAGTGAACCCGCACATTTTCCGAGCTTAAAAAGCGCAGGAAAAGAAGAAGAAAAGAGGTTGAGTTTCAGCTTGTTAATTCTGAATCTTACCTGGATCGAAATAAAATGAGTCTTCTCTTTTTCGCGACTCAAACTTACGAGATCCTCCTAGAACGATATTTTTCACCGTTATTACGAAATTACGAGAATACATGTATCTCCTTTTCGTGGATTCGAGCGAAAGAACGGCATTCGATGATGCTTGAACAAAATTATTTGTTAATGGACGTATTCGTTTCGAAAAAGATTCGTTTACGAGATCGGAATTTTTGGTCTCCCTCGCGGGGCTCCTCACGCATTAATCAACGTCACGCACGCACGTCTGATAACATTTGTCGTAGGGCTATGAAATCGCTCCTTTGATATTCGTTAGTATGTCACGCGTAATATCCAAGCGGACGGCCGATGATGGATTTGACGCTCTCGCAGATTGCCGCGGCATCGCGCCGGACAATGTCCGTGTATTTTTTATATGACGAAAAACATTGCAATATATATTACGTCGCGCCGCGCCGCGCCGCTCCCGTCAACCGCTCTGCTCGCGATACGTAAAATTGCACGCGTTGTTGGCAGCTGTCGCCATCGGGCCAGCCATCCCCCGCCGTCGTCCCGCTGTTTTTGACGCGACGATTCGGCCGATTCGCCCCGGCCATGATAGTCACCGATTGATTATTTATCGATCCGCTGTCGTGAGCATCAATTCGTACGGGAGAATATTTGGCACGTTTATTCCATCGTGTTCGAAAATGCGCGCGCGCGCGAGGATTTCGATATACCGTATTTAATCGTTACGGCGAAACGTGAAATAAAGTTGTACGAAGGGGGGAAAAAAAGGAAAAACAAAGGTTGCGGAGAACAGAGAATACAGTTATGGACTGAAAATCGTAACGACCGGGAGGATTGATACTTTTAAGTTTCTTGGATACATCGCGGGGCGCGCACGTGTGCATGTGAGCGACTATTGTTGTCGAAGAAAGTTCGGCGATAAATCAGAGGAACAGTCGTGTAGCGCCGTTAATAGCGCACCTAGCGCGCAGTTTCGCCAGCTGCCGATCACGTTTCGGGAAACGTCGAGAACGTAATCGCAGTTCCGCGCAAGTTCGCGGGGAGGGGGGGGGAGGAGGAGGGTAGGATGTATTTCCACACGCCCTGGGCGGGCGGCGGCGCGCCCCGCGCGAAATAATGAAGATCCCTCTTGCGAAAACGCACCACGTCTCCTGCATGAATATCCTCGCCTCCCGGGTCCTCGTCATTAAAAAGGCTTACGTACTTCCGGCTTAGGAGAGAACAAGCTAACAAGGGCGGAACTTTGTGCTGCAAACGGAACTTCTCCGCGAGAGTCACCCCCCCCCCCCCCCCTCACCCCGCGTAATACGTTTTACGTTTCAGGGTATAAAACTCCCGGCTGTTAAGCCGAGTTCAGAACTTGTCGAGATGCTGGCTGGGAGTCGGGAGAGAGTGGTACACGTGATCGGGGTGTGTGCGACGGACACACCGCTTTCGCGTTCCGGCGACAGCTTGGCAGCCCCGCGGCTGCGGCGCGTGCACTTGCCGCATGCTTGCGTAACCTTAGTTGCCGCTAAATTAACCGCTTCTACCCATCTCCCCTCGCGGTTGGTATCGTGTTCCTCATCTTGTTAACCTTGCGTCGCACTTTCTCCAAAAAAGAGAGGCAACGAACTTAATTTTCTCACGTACAAAAATTAAATTTACACTGCACCTATGCAGCAAGGATCCTCCTAGAATGCATACAAAGCACGTAGATATAATATCAAATATCTTCGTGCTCTTTATTATTTCTTTCGCGTAGAACTTTGTTTCAACTTAATTGGGACGCGTCAAAACCAATTCAATTCCTTTACAAAATAATATCTGAAATGAATTTTAAAAATTAATAACAACGGCGATAAAACAAAATTCAAATTTAGCGATTTATTCTTCTGCCTCTTCGAGGAAATTCCGAAACAAAGAGAAGAAGTAAAAATATCGCTCCGGTGTAGCTGGATTTCTCATCCAAAATCCGCGCAACACAAACCGCGCGCGGTCGATCGGGGGGATCCTTAAGCGGCGTGAGCGGCATGCTACCGATATATTCGTGGGCTAATTCAACGTTGTTCCCGCTGTAAATCGCGTGACTCCCGACGACTTCTTGGATCAGCGTAATAGGTATGTCGCTCACGTACGCTCCGAATGCACAACACCGGTCGGGCGGGGTGAAAGGGGAGCTGGGGGGGGGGGAGGGGGAGGGGGAGACCGACTACGCGGGTGGAGCACAATAATCGACGCCGCTTCGAACACGAAGCCGTCCGGGTTGTAACATCGATCCGAGATTACGCTCACCGAGGGTGCGAACGTAGTACTCTCCTTTAATCACGCGACAGCGGTAGCGACAACCTCCGCGAAATCCTTTTAGCGTGGCGACGACCGCGGAGACTCAGCGTCCGGCGTTGTCGTGTATCTTAAACACGCGTGCGGCATCGCGCGCGGTAAAGAGAAGGGGAGGGGCTCATTCCCCTTCGTAACGTAACGCAACACCCAATTGTACGTTGCCGTATTTACAATCAAATATTTGATCGGAACCACCGAACGAACACGCAAACACCGTCGTGCACCGACCGAGAATTAAAATAGAGAAAGCGATACTTGTAACTTTAGACTCAGCTCGGATCAAGTTATATCGGATTGACCGCGGGGGTTGAATTTTCCATTTGTTTTACCTCTTTTTCCTCTCTCTCTCTCTCTCTCTCTCTCTCTCTCTCTCTCTCTCTCTCTCTTTTTTATTTAGCGTATCGATTGTGCATTTTTCGGGCTTGTCATATTCAATAACGTTCCCTTCGCGTGTACCACGCCTTTTCGTAGAAAAAAAATATCATTTTTAACTGTATTTTTTGGTTCGTACGATGGTTTTATATTACTCCATTATCCCAAATAAACTGGCTTTGTAAATTATTAGACAAAATTTTGAAATCGCTCCGTGAGTGAGCAATAGGTATTCAATTGCCTTGTAACTCGAGACATACAGATTAATTTCAGGGTGACTCGAATCGTCTGCTGAGGAATTACGCGGTCATCGAGAAAACCTTTACGTCGTCGTCGACGGTGAATTCGCGGATAATGTTCGATTCGGTCGGATTCAAAGCCGACGTTTAAGCTTATCCACCTCGATGAGCGGCCCCGCGTCCCTGCCTCCCGCCAACCGAAACGCGGGTTTTCATTCGCTCACATACAAACGCGCGCGCACACACACACACACACATACACAATGACTGCGCCCGGAAGGACAAGAATTTCGATTTTGTGGCGGTGAGCCGCGGCTGAGCATGCGAATTCGTGAACGTCGTGCCCGGAAAACCCCATCGGCGCACGGTGGAAAGCCCCACGCGAAAACGGGCGACAGGGGATGCGGTGCAGTGGGACATGAATTCGA